AAAAAAAAAAAAAAAGTGTAAATAATAATATATAATAAACGGATTCCAGATTCAATCCGGATGGATCGGCAAATTTTTGAATCCGATCTGACAGATTATCAGATCAGATTCGATCCGCTTTTATCAGATCGCAGATTGGAAAATTCCATCCAGATCACATCTCTACCAGTCAGATATTTTTGTGGCATCATTTAGAAAAGATTTTGCTATAAGTCTAAATCTTTTTATCACTATATATATGTCTTTACTGTAAAAAGTATGGAAGGGGTACTTCTCTTCCAAGTACTTCCTCTATGCTGTAATCCCCCATCTTATAATATTGTGTCAAAAAATTGAATATCTTTTATCATTTTATCGCTAAGTTTTTTCTCTTTTCTAAATGCTATGGCTTCGATATTCAGATTGTGATTATGCTCATTCACAATTTTATTAATAAATATTGTAGAATCTGAATTATTCACCTTGAAACATGAGGCATTAATATGCCATAGACATGACATCTTTTTGGTGCTAGTTTTTTTTGTAGATTTTGATATATAGCTTCTTTCATGTTCACATATATATAACCTTTATCTAATATTATTTCCCTTCTTGATAACTTTATCTTTTATCATACTAAAACCTTTATTTTTACTCCAATTACTAATGAATTGGTCATATAATGTTCAGTTTGTAAGTATCTTTCCTGTATAAAGCCCTGCAAAATTATTTTTAATGTTGGAATTCATATTTCTAGTGAAGCAGAAAAGAAGAAAATATTTAAAATAAAATATTGCAATGATAAAATAATGCAAAGAAAGGAAAATAATGTAAAAAAGAGATGATAAATGCAAGAAAAAAGATCAATCATGTGAAGAAAAGTGAAGGGATAAATATTGCTATTAGAAAACTTTAAAATAAGTTGAGAATGAATGGGCGTGAGAATATTTTTGTAAAATGCATAAAAATTGTGAAATTTTATGCCAATTATTACTAAAAATTACATACATATAATATGTGTAATATTTTCTTCACGTGTTTTGCCTATTTCACGTGATCACATCTGATTTGTCCAATTTTAGCAAGATGTAAATGCGTTTTATTTAAACGCACTAAACAAAACTCTAAAATAATGCAAAAAAAAAATAAAAGGCCCAGTGCAGGATTCAAACTGTATTTCTATAATAAAAAGTATATTATCTAATATTCTACCAATTGATCTAACTGAGCAATTTTTATAATTATTATTAAATAAAGGTTTTATTTATATATTTTCAAATTATGTGTTGATCATATGAAGAGGTCAATACATCCACTGGTCAAAAACTGATCTATCTTACAGATATCTTACAGATATCTTATAAATAT